TTATATTGGAAATTGGATCTAAATTGTGTATACAAATAAACCAATATTTTGGGTTCTTTACTTGTAAAGGCCTGTTTGTTTGAGAAAACAAATTTGCATGATTTAGGTCTAAAAAGAATTCTTTCATTTCCAATGTTTAATTATCATGAAAACCTAAGTACTCAATTTCAAGTGATTTGGTTGTGTATGGAATAAAGAAATGTTCCATTTTTAAAACTCTTTTAAGTTTGTTGTCTATCTTTGTAATTGTCTTGCTCTAAAGTGTAAATGCTTCTACTGCAGCCTTAGACTATAGATGCTTCACACACAGTTTTTTGAAGATTGCTTCTGAGTATAAAGTATACCAATGCATCATCCAATTTTAATACTGCCATAAAAAAGATTACGGGTGTTGAAATGGATTTCCTAAATGCTTCAGTAGAAATATGAGCCGCGTTATATGTAATGGTGAACTGCTAAATATTGTCATCTTAAACTGAATTTCATATGCACTTTCTATGTAATTTTTCAGGATGCAGATAAAAATACTTCTAAAAGAAAGTACCGATTTCTGGAATTCCATCTTCAAATGAAACTATATATTCAGATAAGAACCATAAGTCATCCTTAATTAAGCACTAAATACAGACAATTTGTGCTGTATGACTTAGTCAGTCTGAAAATCATACAGAAATGTCAAATTCTATTATATTTTGGAATGTCAGCCCTAAGTTTCAGAAATTGAGAAAAAAAGAGAATGAGTTTTGAAATGAAAACAATATCACCTTTCATTCTGGGTCTTGCTTTCACGAGACTGTAATTACTAGTCCCAATGAAATACATAGAAACTAATTCTCTATTTACAACAATAATGTTTAACTATTGTCTTTACAATATTTATTACCATTCTCTCATCATCCCCTCATAGTTTTCTAAAGGAATTAGAATTTTTCAGAAACATGTCTTCCAAACTGCTGGTGCCAGTGGCATTAGGCTTGTCACTAGTCTCAGTGACAGCATTCGTGGTCTACTACGTCTTTAAAAAAGATGAAGAAGATGATACCTCATCCAAAAAAAAATCAGTTAAAACGTCACGGATAAATGTCATTGAAATAAATGTGCCTAAGAGCATTGTACCTGCGCTGATTGGTGAGTTTTGTGTTTTTGCTCTCAAGTTAACCAGTTTATGTTTAATATAATAAATAATAACCAGAAGGTTTTCCATTTTATATTTAAAACATTTATTTTTATACATTTTATTACATAACTATAATCTTTTCTACAATCTGTATAATCTCCTTAACATACCGCTACTTTTTATGTTACCTACCTAATTATTATTAAACACATAAGATAATGGCTTACAAGCTTATAAATTTTTGTCTTATCTAACAATTGATGTTCCATGAAATATTATTTGCAGATGTACACACACATAGATACGATACACTATACAAGTACTCGTAATAATAATAATTGTAAAAGTGATCGTCCACCGTCATCTCAGTATGCAATAGTCAGGTAGTGTGCTGCCAGTTCCGCCTATGCTACCTCATCACCAATGTTCGGTAGAAGGTGTTCCAAATGTGTAGTGTAGATAAAGTCTGCATAATATACATACATGGAGCGAAAAAAGTGGTTAAAACCACCAAATATTAATAATTTCTTTATCAAGTTCCAAATTTCCGGAAATAGTTTTACTGCATCTTAAGATAAAACTATTAGGAAGCTGAAGTTGGATTTTAAAGTAATTGTAATGTAGTAGATAACTAGTCCTTCACCTTCAAGGGAATATTTTTATCCTACGATGCAGTAAAACTTTCCGGGAATCCGGAATCCGAAAAAGTAATTAATTAATATTTAGTGATTTACCCACTCCTTGTAGACATTTATCTATTAATTTGGAACACCCTATTCCGACCATAGACCCATCACCCATGAACGTGTACCACAGTGATTCAAAATAATAATGTTCCAGATCACCATTATCTGGTTTCAATGTCGGCTAGTCTCTATACTACGACTACCACAGTAAAGAAATTACGGCTGGGCGCTTAACCCAAAGCACCCAGATCGAAATCCATTTTCATAAGTTCATTACTTAAATTCAAAAAGGCAAAAAATCATTTCCCAAATAGCGCGTATAGTGTTAACCATCGGTAACTCAACTGAAATCATAACAATAACCCACTCACTTCTGGGTGTAGGCTTAGTTTGTGCCATTCTTTTATATTGACGGTATTACTCTCTACTCATCTCGATATGGGACGTGCAACATTTCTGCCACTTTTTTTTTTGCAAATCCAGGACATGTTTACACCTTACAACTGCGGCCTCTCAGACACACATAATATTGACAAGAGTTATAAAAGTATACTTGAGTCATACGATGCGAGATCGTTAAATTACGCCATCGAATACGTCACTCCGTCCAAAGATTTTTATGGACGCCGCAAATTCTAGTATTCAAAGCAAAAAAGAAACATGACATAAGAAAAGAACATAAATAGTATTACATAATTGATCATTAATGAAAAAAATTATAAAGAAATGTACACAATCATGTGTAATTTTCGCTTCTACTAACCAATATTAAAATGTCTTTCGTTATTTCAGTATTAACAATTTCTGTCTTCGATTTTTATATTCATAATCGTAATAAAACTAGTGGAGTCATTTTACAAAAAATCTCAATAAATACGTTCGATTGAAAAGCAACTTCTGCGTCAGTTGTGATACCTGTAAAGTTCCGGCTGTCGTGAGAAGGTTATTAAAAAATCTGTCACTAGATGTCACTAGCGGCGACGAATGCCGAAAGCAGTACAAAGATTTATAACAAAAACAGGAGAATTTCGACGGCTTGGTAACTGGACCCATAGCTTAGTTGGTAAGAGCAATGCTACGGTGCAGCATGACGTGGATTCAAGTCCCACAGGGTCGACGAAAAATTTTTCTGCGTTCGTTCTTAATTATAAATATACTTTTAAAAAAACAGCTTAGGTTGTTTGATATTATTATCATATACAGATAAAATACATACCTACCAAAATATATGAACACTTTTTCTACAAACTTATATGTATAATATGTACACATTTTTTTATAACATCAAGTGACGGGACATTTTCACATAAGTGACATTTTCCATAAAAAATCTCCAAATTATGTACCTGTTGTAGGAAAATCACCATCTTTCTGCAGATAAAACTCTTATTGAATTGTAGCTTTTTTGTTATTGAGTTTTCACCTGCAGAAAGATAGTGATTTCCTACCATAGCTATATAAATTAAAGACTTTGTGGAAAATGTCACTTACGTGGTTTTACCTTTAAACAGACGATATATAAAGTACGTATTCAGAGACTTAAAACGAGCTGGTTACGTTCAGTCGTGCATCTCGTGATCTCACTCGAACTTGTACTGAAAGCAGTGAAAGATCGTTAATTGTCCCGCACGCACCATTCTTACTGAATAAAAGACATTATTTGATTTTTAATTCGGGACGTATTCACGCATAAAACATATTTTATTTACCTCGACGTTTCGGACATATTGCAACTTCCACGTGGTCTCGAAGGGACTATGAATAAAAGACAGGTGAACTATCAACGCAGACAATTCTTAGTTAGTATTAAACTAAAAAGACCGATGACTGTTAAGATGGTGCAAGAAGAACTAGCTCACGTCGGTCAGCGTCGGGAATATATTCCTAACAGTTCGTAGTTCATGAAGTATGCCTGATGTCTAAGACGTTCGCCATTAACCAATGCATGACAAATGTCTCTATTTTTCAGGTCGCAGTGGCTCTAACGTCAAGGATATAGAGAAAAAAACCAATGTCATGATTCATTTTAAGAAGTTTAGCGACAAAGATTACGACGTCTGCATCATTCGAGGTCGCAGCCACGCGACGCAGCTGGCAGAGACAATGATCCACGATTTTATAAAACTGCAGCCTGTTATTGTCGAGGACAGCTTGGTTGTGCCTAACTGGTCATGTGGCAGAATTATTGGTAAGATTCGTTTTCCTTTCAAACATTCTCTCATATTACCACGACAAAAGTGTCTTAATTTCATATTATTATGTACGGAATTGAACTATAGTTCACATAGGATGATATTTCCAATTTTTACGTTGCACACATATTATTTTTAACTAATCCCTCAACCAGGCTACAAAAATAAATAGTAAATTTGTCATAATGTACCAAAAACATACAATATTTGTTACAGTTGTAATTTGAAATAAAAATTACAGTATATTCAGTAGACAGAAAATGTAATGATAAAGATAAAAATAAATTAAAATCTAAAAAATTGGGAAAAGATCGTTAAACCCGGGCGAGTTAATTGGCTTTTAACCCACTGCCCTTCACTGTTTTGAACTGAAACCCAAGTCTGTTTTTGCTGTCTAAAACTGTCTTAAAAACTTTAACATTTTGTCACGGCATTTAAATAAAAAAATTTAGGCACGGGTGGCGAGAACATAAACGACATAAGCCACCGTAGTGGTGCGCGCGTTAGGATTGAAGGCAACGCCGCCAATGACAACAGCACCCAACGCCTAGTCACCTTCAAAGGCACCCAGGAGCAGATCGCGCAGGCCAAGAAGCTTATTGAGACATGTGTAAGTGTTACCAACTTTTTAAAGCGGAATATAGACCTCTTGAAAAGAGTATTTGTACCATAGTATAATAACAGCAAGTAGAACAACTACCGCCTGTTCGGCGCGTAAATGCCTACACTCAAAGAGTATTGCTTATATAGGGGAAAAGAGAGCCCTCTCGTGAGTATTCATGCCAACTGATTTTGAAGCACCATCTGTTTTTTATCACTGACAACTTCGTGCGTATATACCCATAAATATGCGTACCTACAGATAGATTGCTTCTAGTAATACTTACAAATGAAATATACTTTGTTTGCTGTTTTGTTCTAACTTAATTATGTAAAAGACAAAATGTCACTTATGAATTTGTAAGACATTAGTCTGCCATTTACAGCATTAGTTAATTAGAACAAAACATTAGGTGTTAAAGGCCACAATAAAAGACAAATTTATTTGATTACTTCTTATTTTTATAATGTTTGTACTTATTATAATATACTGCAGCATTATTTTTAATTTCTTCGTCCCCTATATAAGTTATTTTCCCAGACAAAATCCGATTAACAGTTCTACACCGGCTGTACAATAAGACACAGCACAGGGAAAAACATTGTACGCAAGACGCGGTAGCCATTTTGTGACATTGACAGAAAAATATGTTATCAGCTCCGAACTAATCAAAATTGCCCACCAGATGTAAAAGAAAAATAACTTTTCATTTATGGTGAGCTTTTTTTAATATAATTTTCAGTCACAAACATTATGGTAAATTTTCTAAAGTTTTTTAACAATTTATGTACGTACATAGTGTATGGAAAAATCCCAGTCATTACCTAGGTAAAATAACTGAAACAATAATGGTATAGAAAGCCTGGCAATCCCAAAAATAGTACCGGTGTTAATTAAAAGATGTCACTACTTTCTTTTCAAATTGTCAGCTCCAAGGCTCTGTCTCCCCCCATGGGGGATATTTTGGTATGGACATGATGAATGAGGTGTTCCGATATAATAATCATTCGACTCGTGCACCCGACCGAATGGCATTGGCATTCGGTATTGTTAATCATTTGACTCGAGTCGAATGATTGTGCTTGGATTCGACTTAGGCGAATGATTTGTGCATTCGAATGATTAGTATTAGTAGCATTAATGGTCGCGCTTCGCTACATTACTGCATTCCGGTTTTGAAGGGAAGGGTGCTGGTGTAATTACAGGCACATGGGACTTTTCAACTTGTGTCTCTGGGTGATGGGCGCAGAGGCAGTGCACCTCAGATCTTTACGATTTTAAATTCTGAGTGGCACTGCAACTGTTATCGACAGTCCTGTCGTTTCCCATGCACGACATTTTCGTCCCAACACTTAATATCATAAGTAAAAAAAATAAGAAATTGTTTTCACCGGGTTAGATTTTTGGCATTCTATCCCAGACCACCCTTTAAATACGCAGGTGGCCCAAGAGAAATGCCGTCGAGAAATCGAGCAATCAAAACGCAGTCCGCGGCATGCGCAGCCTATACCAGCGGTGGCCTCTGCCTCTGCCTCGGCCGTCGCAGACCACCCCGACGAAGCCACAGGTGACCCCAAGCCCAAGTATAAGCGGCCTGGTAAGACTTGCTAACAGCATGTAGTTTGTATTTAGACTTTGTTGGGTGCTTCGACATTTCTTCCGTTCAAGTTCTATTACTATCCACTATGATTAAAATTTCTACTATAATTTGCTGGACTTTCACTATGATTTGGAAGTTTTTACTAAAATTTGGAATTTTTTTTTTTACTAAATTTGACAGTTTTTACTAAAATTTTACAGGTTTTTACTGTAATAAGATTTTACTTATGTCCCACTTTTTCTACTACTGAAATCAAGTAGCCATTTTATCAAAGATTAAATTATTAAAGTGTTTTGCTTTGTACACTTATTTGTTTATTATTTATATTATTTTTTCTCACATTATGGCAATGTCAGAGCACCCAGCTCAATGTTTGATATTTTAACATATGAAAAGGGCTTTTTGATTTTAGGTAATTCAGGCCGATTTATTTTTATTATTAGTAATTTTTTTTTACTTATTTATTACTTTATTTAGTTTTTTTAAACATTTTAGTTACACTTTTTCTTTTTCAAAACTCAGTAAAACGACAGTCCAATGAGCAAACAGGTTGTCAGCTTACAATCGGTTAGTTAGTGATTTTAGTCGATAAATATTCCATCGACTATCGACTGTACATTAATTGCGCTTACGCCTTTCATATAACGTAACAAAACTGTATGCTAAAAATTAACAGCATATTGGAATATTAAGATCGTACTTTAGCACTGTACAGGTAGGTCGTTTGTCAAAATAATACGTAAGAAGACGATAATGCATTTATTAATCATTGAAACGTCATAACATTTACTATTTATGCATTTCTGCAAATTTGTCACTGTAGATGCTGGGAGAGGAGGTTCCCGTTAGGACCAATTTGATAAATGAACTTTTTTAAAGTGTTTCTGGGCTGGGTGTGCTGGGTAGTGTCCCAGAGTGAATTCCGATGCTGTGGTATTTATAGTACAAATTTTCTACTTTCGACATCAGGTAATTAGTGTGGTTATTTGACACATTATTAATATATTATACAAGTTTGAATGCTATGAAATTTATCTCTAATAAGAAATTTCTATCATCAAACGCGACGTAGAAAAAAGGCTCAAGAAAGACTGTCACATTCTTAAGGTTATTTCGTGTATTTTAGATTGGTTATGGTTATGCACGTAGTTTGATTTTATATGATAGAATTACTTTGCACTGTTTCTTTATACTTTAGTTAGTTCAAAGTATCCGTTGATTTGTTTTTGTACATATTTATGTTGTTTTATTGTGTTTGATTTTGTATGTTTTTTTACTGAAGATGTTTTTATGGTAATGGTTGCACGGAGGGATTTTGGAGTGCTATACACTGTATTATTTAATAAAGCCGCATTTAAGATTCGTTTCGTGTAAACAAATTATAAACTTGGTGAATTTAAAAAGTATTGCATCTGGTTACCCAGTTAATTGCATCCAGAAGTTAATGTTTGATTAAGACGATCATTGACTTACAATTATATGGACGTCGGGTCCGCGCTAAAAAGTGTCCGCACTTGTAAGGCGCTAAAATCGTATACAGAGCGCCAAACTCCTCTTTAGTCTTCATTTGTTCGACTGACAGCGCGATACTGCGATGACATTACAATTTAAATTTCGAATAGGTTGACTTGGGACATTTTTTTCGTGGTTTTTGTATTAGACCCGTCGTCCATTTATTTGTAAGTCAATGAAGACGATAATAAAGGGAAACTTTTGCGGTTACTGTGCTTTGAATTTGGGGAACAAGAAATATTAAGAGTCGATACTACCTGAGCTCGAATTAAAATTTTTCCCATACTAATACCGTTCATTATGCTTGGGTCGAGCTGTAGGGACACTGGCTTTATTTCGGAATTTATTTTTTTACAAACGAAATTAAAGCCATTTGGAAAATGTATATCGTATACTATACGTGTACTATTTAGTTCAGTTGATACAAAAAAATCATTGGTATACATTGACTTACAAATAAATGGACGACGAGTCTAATACAAAAACCCACGAAAAAAATGTCCCAAGTCAACCTATTTAAACGTAGTGACATGTAAAGGAATACGAAAAAGCTAAAACGTTGAATGTAAATTGTAATATCATCGCACTGCCCTGCTAAGCCGAATGGCGCTATCTCTGAGTTACGCCTTTTTAGTTTTTTTTATGCCATTCAATAGCTATAAAAATTTCGCATCTAATGGTATAATAGAAATAGCGCTATCTAAATTAAAACATTTAAAAAACCACTAAGAAGTATTTTTAAATACAATACAATTACATAAAATGCAATTTACAAAAAGTCGATTTTCTCAAAACTTACTCCGATTGAGATAGCGCTTTTCGGCTTATCAGGGCAGCGCAGTACTGTCTAATTTTGCTTGCTTCGCTGTCAGTCGAACAAACGAAGACTAAAGCGTGAATGACGCTCTGTATACGATTTTAACGCCCTATAAGTTCGGACTCTTTTTAGCGCGGACCCGACGTCCATATAATTGTGAGTCAATGTTGGTATATGTAAAATACCTATTGAATACAGCGGTTTTCTTGTCAAATTTCGAGGTAAGTTTGTGTTCTTTTTTCTATCGCGACAATTTTTAAGAATCGTGTTTTCACACCGTATAATAATCAGTGTATATCTTCAATTTTACTATATTTTTTTCCGAAGTGATTGATTCAACACTTTTGACTGTTATGCAGAATCAACCAAAGCCATATGAGGTTGTATCGACACTTAATATCTACTTTTTAAATACATAAAATTGTATAGCAATAACTTAAGTGTCAAAACAGACCTGTTAAGTTTTTTTAATAAAGCTTTAATATACATATACAGAAGGAGCGGGCGCGAGTATTGAAGTTTACGTGTCAGCGGTCTCTTCTCCTGCACGGTTTTGGGTGCAGTTGGTGGGCCCGCAGGTGGCACAGCTGGACGACTTGGTGGAGCATATGACCGAATACTATAACAACAAGGACAACCGCGCCAACCATGCCGTAAGTGCAGTATTGTGTATTGTACAGTGTTACCAAGGTAGGTGAACCTCTGCAGCGTTAGATAAGGATTCAATTTCCACGTTCGTGCAGGTAGTGATACAGGGTAGCGATGGGCGAGTCGAGTTATTTAACTCGATTAACTCGAGTTACTACCACAACGAGCCAACTCGAGTTACTTTTTTAAGAACTCGAACAAACTCGGTTTGATACCCGCCCCGTCGCCGAGCCGAATACTTCATTCATACAGCGCGTCGTTGGCCTTCCGATCACGCTCGACTGGCGATCGATGGGCAAGTCAACTTATTTAACTCGAGCTACTACCACAACAACTCGAGGTACTTTTTGTGAACGAGAGCTAGCTCGAGTTTGAGTCGCGGTCGGCCGATCGTGCCCAGCTCGGTGAATCGTCGGTTCGAGTTCTACTCGCGACTCGCGGTTGATATGTCAGAATTGCAACTCGAGTTAGCAGTCACGTCCACTCGAGTAACTCGAGATGAAAAAAAAATACAACTCGTCCCATTGCTAATACAGGGTATTCTCAACTGTTTTGCAAGTGGTTCAATCATGTATTCCCAGTGTCCTGTAATTGTAAATATATGAAATTATGCGGCAACTTAGCTTTGGTGGATCGGCGATTAGCACTGTGGGCACTAGAAACATCTCTTCTAAATTGGTTTGGACATCCGTCCGAAACCTTTACTGTCAAATAAGTTTTCTTTTTTATATAATACCAAGTGACGGGACGAACAAGTCGTGAGCCTGGTGGTAAGCGACACGCCTATCCATAACAGTTGCAGTGCCACTCAGAGCTTTATATCGCAAGGCTCTTAGGAGCACCGCCACTCTCGTCTCATATGCCTGTAATTTCACCAGACCTTCCAAAATAGGTAAGGTGGCAGTACTTCCCTGGACGAGCCTTTTACAAGGAGCTCTGCTGCTACTAAAAATGACACTCGACTAAATCAGAGGACAATGTGAAATATGAAACTCCATTTGCATCATGCATCTTCTTATTTGGTCGAGTTTTACTTATTTGACAGTAATTGTTTCCGACAGACGTCGGACACCCCGGGGTTAATTTCGTTGCTTTGGTATGCACAGTACAGTGAATTATTTAGTTTGATACCAAGCAACTGGCATATTATTATTAATCCTTTGACCGCCGTGGACGCTTTAAAGCGTCTTACATTAACTTATCTGATACGCCAACATCGAGTATATAACCAGAAATAGAGACGAATGTCATTTAATTTCTTTGAAAACTATTCTGCCAAATCGTTACGATGACAATTGCGCTACGATTGGCCAGCCCAAATTGGAAACAATTGACGGGTGTCGTCAATTGTTTCTCTTCAAATCGACCAGTTTAACTTGAGCTTTGCTATAATGGATATTGATATATTGAATGGAGTTGATATTTAATAATGATATAAGACCCATTTGCCTGGTATGAATGGCCCTTATTTCTGGTTACATACTCGATGTACGCCAATGACGCCTTAAAGCGTCAATGAAACCTTTTATTTTCAATTGAAATAAATATTAAGATATTCCATTTGTTATTTGTATATTCTAGTTAAGTATGGATTCAAAGTTGCATTTAATATTCAGTTATGTTCTTTCACTTAGGAGAAATGAATTAATATAAAGTATGTCATTCATAACATGTCACATTACTATAAAGGCTTGGCGTCTAGGGAATGAAACTAGTTTTTGTCGATGCCGGTCAAAAGGTTAATGCATTATGAACACAGTCAGGTTTAATTGCATTGCAGTTGAAGGAAGTGTCGATCGGGCAAGTGGTGGCGGCGGTATTCCGACACGATGGCCGTTGGTACCGAGCCCGAGTTCACGATATACGACCTAACGAGTTTGACGCCACGCAACAGGTACAGTTATTTCTATGTAGTTTTTAAATATTACCAAAGTACGACCGTTTATACCAAGATACGGGCTTAATAACGACGAAGAAATAAAAAGTTAATTTAAAAAAAATTCGAATTGAAAAATATGTAAAATAAAAAATAAGCTAAACAATGCAAATTAAGTTCTTAATAAACGAATTAAGTTTTTAGGTTTTCGTGATTGTCGGACATTGAATTTCGGATTTAAGTCACGTATATTTGTTTTTCAAATTTTTTAATTTTTCTTAATTGGCTTTGATTAAAACAAATATACGCGATTTAGATCCGAAAAAATAGTTTCCATTTCTAAAATGCAAATTAAATTTAAAGAAAACTTTGAGCAAATTTTTTCTGTGTCTGTTATGGATCTATGTATTGGGTTTTTTCGACTTTCGACACCGTTTTCTTTGTATTAATAATTATGAGCCTGGTGGAGTTGTTGCACAAAAAAATATATGAATATCAAGGTGATGAGTGATGAGACATCATGAAATTCAATAATAATAAAAATATTACTTTTGCTGCAATAATACTTAATGTGGAGTAAAGAATATTTCATTCTATTATTCATTAATTCGGTCGTTTTAAGAATGAACTAAGAATTGTCTTGAACATTTAATTATATTTTCACCTCACTAGCTCGGAGAAGCTTTCTTTCTCATTCGAAATCTGCGCGATCTGCGCGCAAAATTCGAACTTGACGATGGACTGTGGTGACTAACCTAACCTAACTTCTTTCGATGAAAAAAAAACATAATGACACGTTCAACTACGCGATTTGTCGTACATTATTTATGTAATTTAAATCCGTTAGTTTATTTTATTCTTATTATTATTGACATTAAATTGACAACGATAATTAATTTTGTTTATTGAGTTATTTTAATTCGTCGAGGAACTCAACTGATTTGTTATAGTTCAACTGTTTTTTTTCATCTACCATTTTCCTCCCTATAGTGAAGTGAAAAGTTGTGTGTTTCGCTCGGCAGCTCGCTACGCTCAGGATGACCTAAGGCTCCTTCGCTTGCTCAGGTTCCAATACAAGTACTAGCGTCAAACAACAACTTTGCAGCCTTGCATAATAAATAACTATTATATGTATTGCATTGCGTGCAGGTAGCAGACGTGTTCTACATGGACTACGGTGATAGCGAATACGTGGCTACGCACGAGCTTTGCGAGCTGCGTGCCGATCTGCTCAGGCTGCGCTTCCAGGTTAACACTGAGCTTAGATTCATCTCTCTCTCTCTCTCTCAATAAAATAAAGAGACGACATTCTAAACGTAACATTTTTGAAAAACTTGTTTTGCATAGACTGTCTTTCTATTGATTTGTTACAAATTCATCAACTTCAAATGTTTGTCATTTGACAGCTGACATAGTGGTAATGATTAACTTTATAAAAAAAAAATGAGTTTTATACATTTATGTAACCGAATATCGTGTTTATTGTGGAATGTTTAAGAACTTCGTAGATAATTTAATACTTTATAAGTATAATACTTCATAAGTATGTCTACTATAAGAAAGTATTATGTATTTACGTAGGTACTAATCTGTGTAATGCGGACTATTCCACTCGTGGACCTCGTGGACCCCCATTAACATCTCATGCACCGATTTGGGGAAAAACGTAGTTTGACATTTTCGTGAAAGCATTGCAATACGCCATTTTATCCACCTGAAAAGAGCAAAGATGTCTTTGAACAACCAATATGATTATTTATTAAATATTATTTTTAATGAATTTTTTGTTTGCGAGTTAGGGATCCTGAAAATATAGGCTGGTCACACTCGTTCGCGTTCTGTTTTGTTGGCATCGAGTATACAATGTGTTAATTTTCATTCTCGCCATATTTACAGAGGTCATTCTAAATCCGAAACTGAACCCAAATCACTAAAAAAATAAATCGAAAAAAAATAATTCGTAAATTAAAATTTAATTGCGGTAAACAAATTTGATCCAAAGGTCATTGACTTGCACGGCATCGGCACTTGCAAACCTTTTGTACAATGACCTTAAATGTGCAGAAAGACGCATTTTAGATCTATTTGGTGGCGGGGGTGGGTAGCAACGGCGGCGGGTTACTGTCGTATCGAGCGCGCGAGTCGACCTTGCTTCCCGCACTAACTGCGTTTCTAGTCTGTCACGAAATTCGATGTGGTTAAGTATGTAAATAAGAGTTAGTAGTACAAGTGCGTCAAGTCTATTCTTATGGCATGACGTGAAACGTTTAGTTTACGCGAAGGATACGAGTGTCGAAGTTTCTGCTTTCAAAGTTGTGGAGTCTAATGTTGAAACGAAACTCACGTGCTAATCTCTGCATAGCGTGGAGCTAGGTGCTTCTAGCAATACTTTCTTGTAACTTAAAGTTGATAAGTACCAAATTTAAGTTACATAAAACCTTTTTCAGTCAAGTTTTCTAATTAATGTAAATAAATAGTAAATTATAACAATACTAATAATCATAATTTAAAAAATAGATAAATAAGCGATCGAGAAAGATTACGTATCGCTCGGTGAAGCGGGTGGCGGGGTCACTGCCCTTGCGTGGTGCATATGGCTGCGAGACAATTTTGAAAAACTTTTCTGGATACAATTAGCCAGAATATTGAACAGAATAATTTTTTAAATATTTTTAGACGATTTAGCATAATTTCTATTATTAATTTCTTAAATATGGCGAGAATGCAAATCAACACACTATAACCAGAAATAGAAACTATGTCATTTAATTTCTTTGAAAACTATTCTGCCAAACCAAACTGCGCTCCGATTGGCCAGCCCGAATTCGAAACAATTAACGGGTGTCGTCAACCGTTTCACTTCAAATCGACCTGTTTAACTTGAGCTTTGCTATAATGGACGATAATTGAAAAATTACATAATTTAATATTTAATTACCGATGAAATGTGATTCCGTTTGTTTTGTAATTAGATGTTGTGTTGTGACGTACACAGGTCAGTTGTTGGCGCTGTACGTAGCTTTCTAATTTGTGATTTCATCGCAAACGATAGTTGATTTTTAAAACTGATATCAATACCATTTGACTGATGAGTTGCCAGGGATCGATGACCCTTATTTCGTGTCTATTTCTGGTTATATACTTGATGTTTGTTGGTAACGATTTGCGATTCAAGTCGAAGAACATATTGGTTTTTTTGTACACAAACTTGAATGAGATTAATTTGTAAGTCAATTTTTTTTCTTGTTTTCTGAAAACAAAAGTTGTTTGTTTGAAAGATAAGAATATAGTGTTAGGATCAATTTGTATAGCAGCAGAACGTAATGAACTTTATGTTCAATTGTGTAACGTAAACTGGATACGAGCCATAATCTTGCGACAATTTCTTCTTGCAAAAATTCGCTTCCATTCCGTTCTGCCGCTATATAAATTGAGCTATAAGAAGTTTTCGGTTGTACATCAGGCGATGGAGTGCTTCCTGGCGGGTGTGAAGCCTGCAGGCAAGGAAGAGGACGTGGTGGGCTTGACAGCTTCGGGCCAGCGCTGGGACAAATGGCACCCACAGGCGGTCGAACGCTTCGAGCAGCTCACGCAGGTCTTTATGATAACGAGTCATAAGCGAGAAGATCAATTCCAGCTCCTGAACAGACGTTTCTAGTTTCCTGTACCTGAACGGTAAAAAAAGAACTTTATGCCGATACGTTGGAGCTGTTGTTGTAAAGAATACTATTAGTAATCTTCATGTTTTTACTACAATGATATTCATTTTACTTTTGTGAAAATATTCCATCAGTTTGGTACCATATTAGTGGAAAATTTTTTCTTGGCCACGGTGAGGCACAGACGCTGGTTCGAGTCCAATCAGATCGAAGGAATTTTTCTTTCTTGAAGTTTGTCGCTGGCGTATATCTTGGATATTGTTTATTCTAGGTGAAAGATTACGCCCCTATCTCAGAAGTATCCAAATATAATATACATAAATAAATAAATAAATAGGAATAACGCTCACACTCAACATAGCCCCGCACTAGGAAAACCCTGTGTCGCGGGTGCCATGGACACACACATAGACAAACAAATTGCACCCAAAATCACGAGAGAAATAAATGTAGGCCATATAAATATTTCTCCCGGCCCGGGAATCGAACCTGGGACCTCTGCGTGGCAGTCCAGCATGATAACCGTTCGGTTACAGAAGGGGATTTTGATAGGCATGTACGTGAGGCGCACTATAAGTTTCCGGAATGAATAAGAAAAAATTGCTATAAATGGTCAGAAATTAATTTATTGTGTCTTAAAATATTCTCCGTTCAACACAATCTCTGAAACATATTTTTCATACTCTTCAAGTGATGAAAATCGTTGACCGCGTAACTGGTTCTTAATTTTTGCAAATAAATAAAAGTCACAAGGTGCCAGGTCCGGACTGTACGCGGAATGGCTCATAAGGTCAACGTTGTTCACCTTCAAAAATTCATTCGTCTGTCTGGCCGTGTGAGAACTGGCATTATCGTGGTGCAAGATGATACGGCGTTTACTGTTATTTTTGCGGAGTTTGTCAATAACTTCCGGCAAACAAATAGTCGTGTACCAATCACTATTCACGGTACAACGATTCTTAAAAGCAACAGTAGGGCACATGTCCAGTTATATTAAAAAAAGAAGCAATCATCCGCTTAGAGGCACTTTGTCCGCACGCCATTTTGGTTGGTTTCGGCTCATCTCGAAAGACCCATACGCTCGATTGCTGCTTTGTTTTGGTATCGTAACTGTAAATCCATGTTTCGTCACCTGTTATTATGTCCTACACCAAATTTGACGCCCCTTCGTTGAATCTGGTAAGCATGGCATTGCACCAAATGACGCGACCTGTTTTTTGAGGCTCAGTCAAATTGTGTGGGATCCACCGAGACCACACAGATCCACAGCTTTTTCACACCCAAATATATATGTAGTATTGATTGTATTTGACTCATACCTAAAGATGCCCGAATCTCATGGTATGTCATATGCCTGTCTGTTTTGATCATACAGCGCACAGCATCGATGTTTTTGTTGTTCACAGCAGTGGACGGGCGACCATCACGAAATTCGTCACTGAGATTCACACGAACGCTATAAATAGTCGTCTTGCATGGTGCTTCATTGCCAAAAGCAGTTTGAAGCCGAGCGAAGCTCCGCTGAGCCGTTCAATTACACAAAGTCGCAGAAAATCATACTACGAAAATTTTCACGAGTTAAATCCATGGTGATGTAGACAACCAATTTCTAAAATGACGCCACAAAGTAAAAACAAGTGACAGTCAGATGAAACAAACTGTATTCTACAGCCAAAGAGTTCCATTTTAAAATGTTGTAATTACTTTTTAAATAATGTTTATGTAAGTGGCCAGTTCCGGAAACTTATAGTGCGCCCTATATATTTTAATGATCATTTTAAATTTGTAAAAGCTGCAGGCAAAAAATCTAAACGGTCATCTTTTTTAATAATTGAATTGATTTAATTGATTGATTGATTAATGATTTTTTTAATACTCTTTCTCTGAGACATAAAATAAATTAAATCGATGGATATTTTAATCTGTACTGAGCTACCCAAAAAAGGTTTGATTTATATAAATTAACTTTGATAGTTTTATGTTGGGCCTCAAAACTAAGACAAATGAGCATTAAAAATGAAATTTTGATACTTATTTTTAAAACTAAGTTTTATATTATATAGCTTATATTTGTACACTAACATTACAATTAATTATAATATAATTTGACCTGAAAATATGCTGGGAAACGCAAGCAAATTGACTTATTTTATCATATACTAACCTAACCCACTGAATGGAGGGCACAACCAAGCAACCAAGATTTATTAGGAGATCAATATCAAAAGATATACTAGTTCTAAATGTCATCAATTGTTAAAAGACAAATGGTAAAAAAATTTAAATACCAAATATTAATTTAGTTTGCTTAAACATAATGTTCCCTAGAATGCACTTCATTTATAATTTATCCGCATATCATCTAACAAAATATAGGTGGAAAATAATAATATATATATCAAACAAAAAAGAAATCGTTTATTGAAAAAAGTGCACATTTCCAATAGATCAATTGTTTCGTTGAGGATCAGATAATATTGTCCCTTTTACATATAAAATTAAATAATATTAACCGTTATTATTTTGAAAAACGGATTGAAAAATGGCTCATTCTTGACATCGGAAATCTAGATGGCGCTAATTATACCCACACAACTGTTTTCAATTACAAACACCCAATTTTTTTATTTAACTTGCTCAGAGCCAAATAGATATTCTAATAAAAATGTTTTATTGAGTAGCCGGACTAGTTAAACAAATTCCACATCACATTTAAACTTTTGTACGCTTCAGGTGGCGAGATGGAAGCCACTAGTGTCTCGAACGTGCACGTATAAGAAGACGGCGGCTGTCGAAGGCGACAAGGAGAAAGAGATACCCGGTATCAAACTATTCGACGTAACTGAAGGTATGTTTCATTCAAACTCAAGTTTATTTACCAAGACAACACAGTACATAATTAAATTGTTAAGAAAATCGTTTATCAATAGTAATTATTGCTTTGTCGCGTTTAAAAAAATATAATTTGTACGACGCTGTCAGACGCTGTTACAAATTAACGTCGTTCTATTTGTGTCGCACTGTTTGTTACACACGGTTACACAGCAACGATGCAATCGCTGACCACAACAGTTGCAGTGCCACCCAGAGCTTTAAATCGCAATGATCTGAGGGGCACTGCCACTGCGCCCGTCACTCTGAAACATAAGTTGACAAGTTCCATGTGCCTGTAATTTCACCAGCACCCTAACTCTTAAAAACCGGAACACAGTAATGCCGACATTACTGCTTGGTGTCAGAAATAGGTAAGGTGGCAGTACTTCCCTGGACGAACTCTTTCACAAGGAGCTCTACTGCCACTAAAGTCTATATGTAGACAGACATTTATCTACTCATTTGGAACACTATTGGTTATGGCTATTGGTTACGACTATGAGGCACGGAAGCGAGAAAATCATGAATCAGAAGATGCTTGAGTCAAGTAGTGCTCTTCACGTAGGCCATAGAGTTTGATAGGCCATTTTGTCTGTGCTGCAGAGGGCGAACTAGACGTTGGCGCGACGTTAATAGCAGAGGGCTGGGCTGTGGCTGCGCCCTCCTCCCCTCGCTCCTCTCCGCCGCGCCCCCCGGCGCCGCAGACCCCCTTCGGTGATCTTGGCAACTCCAGGTTCGTAATGCAAATTTGTTTGCCGGGAATCGACACTGAAACCTATCAACACGCAAAAAACAAATGTGCTACTTTTGAATCGGTTCGCTTGAAAACGCATTGAAATAATTCGATACAAAAAAATCGTTAGGTCGTATGCACTTGTATCGATTTTCGTAAAAATCGAATCGTGATGTGCATTCTTAGTAGCGAGAATCCATAGGATTGCAAAGTGCGTATGGAGTGGAGTTGCCTCATTCGTCTAAAAAATAGTTTTTACATCGAAATTTGTAATAAGTATGGAATTATTCCGTAATCCATATTCGCCGTTTCTGCCCACGATTTTGGGCAGAAATGGACTAAAACCCGACGCTTTGGGAACAAACTTGGTTAAAACCCGGGCGAGTTGATTGGGTTTTTTCCCATGTCTGCTTGTGACAGTTAAGTATAATTTACCGCGCGTAATGCCCACAAGAACCGTCTCTCGCCTAGTCCAGGATTTCTCTGAAAGCTACTTGTCGAGGTGTGTAGGATCACAGGGACCAAATTTAAAAAAAATGGACCTTTTGGGAACCGACGGCATGAGATACCTTGCCCAACGTATTAGCTATATTGTAGTAGTTATATTGTATATGTGACAGAATACTAAACATGGCTGGCGGCGCGAGAGCGACCTCTATGCCCAAGGACCATAAGGACGATGGCAGCGACATTCTACGGCCGGCACCCAGCACCAACAAAGGTAACCATTATGATCAGTAGAATGTTTGTCTGAAACATTTTGATTGCTTTTATTGACTGAAAAGAGTGTGCTGAATTTAAATCACAATTATATTAGTCTTGTCTTTGTCGAAGTAAAATTACAGCCCATTGCGCAACAGTTTTGCGAGCTAAATATTTAATCAACTATCGACTGACTGTTGCAATAAATAGTCGAATTTGTTTCATTTGAATCATCACCACATTATTCGTCCAATTTATTATTTCCAGAAAACGACAAGATTGCATCTTCAAAATCCCTCGGCTCTGGCCTCGAATCGAGCGACAAACCAAAATCGATATCGAATTTCGACTTAACGTACTCCAACTCTAGAGCACAGAAAACAGATGTCAACGGTTCTCACGATTTCCTCAATAAAGAACGTTCAAAACTCGATATAGAAGGTTCCAATGACACTTTAATCCCTAACTTGTCGGGTTCAGACGTTCTGAAAGCGAAAATGAACAGAATAGACTCCCATCATGGCAATTTAGAGCATCTGACGCATTCGCAAACGGATTTGCATAATTAAGTAAGTGGTAGTTTTACGTATAAAAAGTTAAAACGTAGTGCTATTGGTTGAGCCACATGGAGAAAGAGATACCGGGTATCAAACTATTCGACGTAACTGAAGGTATGTTTCATTCAAATTCAAGTTTATTCACCCTGACAACACAGTACATAATTAAATTGTTAAGAAAGTCGTTTATCAATTGTAATTCGTTAATAATAAAATAACGCCGGTACACTCATAGCCCCGCATTAGAGGGATACTCTGTATCGCGGGTGTCATGGACACACACATAGACAAAAACAAAATTTCATCCAAATTCACGAGAGAAATAAATGTAGGCCATACTAATCTTTCTCCCGGCCCGGGGCCTTCCAGCATGGTAACTGTTTGGTCACAGAGGCAGTAATATTCCTTATTACCAAATAGGTTATTATGACGCTTATTAGTCGCAATCCAGAGTTCAACTAATTGAGAACGTCTAGTGTCGCATATCTATCGATATAGGTAGTACTGTCAGTGGACATCGATAGTTTAAAAATCGAATATAGTTATGCATTGACTTACAAATAAATGGACGACGGGTCTAATACAAAAACCACGAAAAAAATGTCCCAAGTCAACCTATTCGAAATTTAAATTGTTATGTCATCGTAGTATCGCGCTATCCGTAGAACAAATGAAGACTAAAGCGGAGTGTCGCGCTCTGTATACGATTTTAGCGCCTTACAAGTGCGGACACTTTTTAGCGCGGACCCGACGTCCATATAATTGTAAGTCAATGTAGTTATGCATTTACATTGTCAACTCGATACTATAAGACGTAATCGTATTGATATTAATAGATAATCTTAACCGTACATATAAAATGCCTGCCTACAGATTTGCTCGATTTTTTAACTATCTACACGTGTGCTCAAACAATACGAGTAAAGGACGATGACCGATGCAATATGGAGGCATGTTCTAACTTTAAACTGGCATTAGGTCAATGTGGAATGTCCATAAACTACACATGGCGCATATAAGACCTAGATTCTGAATCTATTCCTCGATTTTCATTTAAAGCAGCGAATTTTTATATATTTAGTAATTTAAAAAGCAACTTTTTCTAAATAACTGTCTAATAATCGAACAAACTAAATAGAGTACAATTACATTCCATGTATAAGTATAATATTAATATAATATTGGGAAAAAATACCCAGTTGCGCTTCAGTAGGGAAGCTCTTATAGTTGTGATCTGTCGCACAATTTTTCCTTAAAAATAAGGTATATTGCAACTCACACATCTGGCAACACTGAGCACAATATAATAAACTGCAATCTGTCACCATTCGTCGCCATCAATACTGATCCGGAAATGCAACAGAATTACAAATAATCTTTTTTTTATTCAAAATAAACTGCTGCTTTAGTGGGTTCTAGACTATTATCGAAAATGTAGCTTTAATAAATGTAGAATAATTGAAAATACGAATTTGCTGGACATGCTAAGTAAAATGAGGGCAGTAATGGTCATCATCCTTTGTAAGCAACAGACGATCGCCATATGTAATTGAGTAAATATGTAAAAAGCAGACTACTTCTGTAGATCGACACGTGGCGATCGTCTACTACAGTAGTCTATCGATAGATAAGTGTCGCTATTTGAAAGCCGACTTGATATTGATTGTCTTAATTTTTTATAAAACAGTGATTAGTTTAAGAAAAGTGATAAAAGTATGGGTTATGCAGTTGTTGGATGGTCTTAATTTATTGTGTAACTGATGGTATAACGATGCCTCACTTTCTCAAACACGTACCTTATATACGTGATTATTCCGGAGATGACAAAACTACGAATTTTTTAAAATTTATTATAAGTTTGTTAATTGGTGTTGTTATAAGGGTGTTAATTTGGGTTTACTGTAAAAGTTGATAAAGTTATAAAATTTTACTTTATGTAAAAACAGCAGGTAATTTTGTATATAAAATACATTTTTTGAGATATGATTTTGCTGAATTGTGGCATCTGCTAATTTCAGTTACTTCAATAAGATACGAATTTGATAAAGTGAGGCGACGATAATGTAAATTTATCGGCCCTATTATATTACTAACTAACCTTACTCGCATTAAGTAATCTTCTTTTAGAATTCTATTTTTTCATACTAACATAACTTTCAAATGTATTATTGTATTTGCAACTTCAAGGAATTTGGATATTTTTAGATTAGGAACTAAAGTTCATTTTGTAGTATCAAAAAGGGAACTAACTGTATTCATGGTATTATAAAAAAAAAACATTTAATAAAGGTTATATACATTTCAGGTGTTTTAAGAATAAGGTAAAAAATATCATTATACATATTACAGGTAGTGATGTGCGACTTTGAATGTTACTAATACTAATCATTCGAACGGGCCAATCGTACGCCTTAGTCGAATCCAATCACAGTCGTTCGACTCGAGACGAATGATTATTACGTTTGAACTACGCAGAACACACTATGTCCATTTCAAAATATCCCTGTTCCCGTAACATTTACGATATTTAATATATATATATCAGAAAGGGCTAAGCAGATAATATGGATTAAAGTAGCGGTACGCTATGATGGCCGTTTTGACGTTTGGCCGCTCATCAAATTTCGTATTAATTCATAACTACGTCGAAGGAGTTAATTGCTGTACATTGTTATCAATAGCGACATGCAGTAAAATTTGTGGAATATATTTTTTATAACATCAACTGATGGGACGAACAATCGTGCGCCTGGTGGTAAGCTACACGTCTGTCCATAACAGTTGCAGTGCCACTCAGAGCTTTAAATTGCAAAGATCTGAGGGGCACTACCACTGCGCCAGTCACCCTGAGACGTAAGTTGACAAGTCCCATGTGCCTGTAATTTCACCAGCCCCCTTAACCCTTCAAAACCGAAACACAGTAATGCTGACATTACTGCTTGGCGGCAGAAATAGGTAAGGTGGCAGTACTTCTCTGGACACTCTTTAATAAGGAGCTCTACTGCTACTAAATAATTTGACGACATAACTCGGTATTTGTTTTTCGTAACTCGAAATTTTTAAAAATGAAATCTAATACTATCACGATACGACATTTTTATTTTCGTTTCATTAAAACTTTAATCAGGTACCCCTTGCAATGCCAGTTATAAATCTAAAAACTTATAGATGCGCCTCGCATTAGAATATATTTTTTTCGATAATGAATTGAGATTTCACATCACTATTGTTAATCTGTCAAAACGACCATCATAGCGTGCCGGTACTTTACTCATGAATGGTCATTCAGACCATTCGAATACGAAAAAGAGTAGATCACTAATTTGTCAGTCGAATGACAGGATGAGTAATTACTAGCGAGTCGAATATAGAAACCATTCACAATCGCGCATCACTAATTACTGGCGCACAGGTAAAGAATCTTTTAGAATTTATGTCCTTGTGTTCCAACTTATCTGTGCAATTGAAACGATATTGCCCTTAAACCTGCGGTATACTTGTTGAGTGATGTATAAAATTCGTCGGCCGAATATGTATATTTTACGCTTTTATCTTTATCTTTTGCATATCGAAGATTGGAGTGTTACTTACCTAGTAGTATGTTTGTAGTGATGCCAATTTATATTACGTATATATAATCTATGTATGTAAACGTATGTAGAATTATATGTAATCTCATTTGCAATTTTAAATTTATGGCATGTACTTAGTGTATTGTGAGATAAATTGTGATTATGGGATTGTGATACATATTGGTACTATGTATATGTAGTGACGGGCACTTATTGTCCTAATCACAATTTTAAAAGGAGATCTGACATCGTCGCTTATATATAAAACCTTTAATTCTTTGTAAGAGCGGTTACATTTAACAGCGATGCAAACGCGATGCAATCGCTAATCGTCTACCTTTACACACGCGCTCGATTTTAAGCAGCGATGCAAACGCGCGACTGCATCGCTACACTTGGGATTTATTGGCGATTGCATCAAAGCAATCGCGCGTTTGTATAGATGCAATCGCCTATAAATCGCAAGTGTAGCGATACAATCGCGCGTTTGCTTCGCTGGTAAAAGTCGCCGTTTAACTATAACTTAATAAATACCATTTCGGCTTCCCATATGGGACGATGGTACAACTTATCGGCTCTATTTTGTTTTAATGTCCAAACATTGTGGGTTGACGGAATTGTTTTATAATGAAAGTAAAACATATTTCAGAACACCAATTATCAAGAAAATAGAACCTCCACCAACACCACAACGGCCTATGTAAGCAATGTATTATATAGAAGATAACCCTGGTAAGAAAAGTTGACTTCGCTGAACTCGGTGGCGTTATATTGCACTCTTAATAATAAAGTGACCAAAATGAAAAGGAAATTTTTTGGGAAATATTAATATGAATAATATACTAGGTGATAGAAAACTAACATATTTTCATCTCGTAAGATTTATTCATTAATAATCAAATGGCATTCACGGCTGGTGCCACGTTAACATTTTTTTAATCAATTTTCTTAGATTCTCAAACATTTTTTCGCATTTATTGTTTTTTGTATTTCGTCATTTTATTAATAAGGGTGCACTATGGTGTAGTAGGTGGGATAAAGCGAAAAAAGCGAGTAAAACTCGAAGCTCAGGAACAGTACTTATACAAAATATTGTAGAATGTAATGCAAAACACGGTCGTTCCCCCGGTTATGATGATTGAAACTAAGAATCGTTGAAATGTTTTACGCATTTCATTGCACGCTATATTAAATGTAGTGTATTAAAATTCTAAGAAAAGTTAATTTCTGTACAATAAAAAGTAGGATCTCGTACCTAATTGTCTAGCTTCATTGTCAACGTGACGTTCTCAGTTGAAGATCTTGGTGATTTAGCAGGTTTGATTCCAGATAGGACAAATTTGGAAAAGAACCTTCCTGAATTAAATACATACATAAGTCTTATTCACTAATATGTCAAAATATGTAAAATGTAAAATCAATATGTAAAAACAAAATTATTGGCTATGAAAGGGTGCTGACTCAGCATAATTCGACCGTGAACTGGCAACCGGTACTATCTCAATTTTGACAACTACATTGACTTTACAGGTGAAGAAAAAAATTATTTGCGTCATTTATATAGCACCTGATTTATTAAATAAAAATACGTAGTTTTTAAATATTTTTACTGCACATACACTACGTTTTTTTATTTAATAAACCAGATGGTATATAAATGACGCAAAGATTTTTTTCTTCACCTGTAAAGTCAATGTAAAGTTGTCAAAATTGAGATAATACTGATTGCCAGTTCACAGTCGATATGCCAAAGTTCTCTAACGCGCTGGATAAAATTTTTTTTTTGACATTACATACACATGCTGGCAAGCGACACGACTATCCATAACAATTGCAATACTACGCAGTATTGCAATTGGGGGCACTGTCACTGCGCTCGCCACCCCGAAATATGAAGTTGACAAGTTCCATGTGCATGTAGTTTCACCAGCACCCTTGCCCTCCTGTAAATTAATAATTTATAATTGGACATAGTTATACAAACAAGAACCAACCAACACCTCGAGTGAAATTGAGTTATGTATTTAGGTAGAGCACCTGGGGGGGTGTTTCACGTAATCAAATTTGTTCTTTATCGTATTCATTTGCAAAACAATTTACTGTATATAGCTCAGGATTAGCTTTCGAAGGTGAACAGGATTTATCATTACTGAACGTCAGGCTGACTTTCGAGTTAGACTGTTAAAGGGCAGCGCTATATGTGTAGATTTAGTTGTAGGTAGTAATTTAAAAGACTGTATATAACAATGTATATTGAAAACCATGTATTCATTTATGGTGTTTCATAAAGGTGCGTGCACGTAGGTGCCGAGTCATAATAAGAATTTTCTGATAACCTCATGAAACTTCTGATAAAACTGTGTATAACACACTTATCCAGTGTTCAGTGTAGCACAGAAAAATCCTTTTTTTATATTGTAAGAACATGTTGATGCGTGAAGGTATTCTGAGTGCAAGTAGTCATTGTCTCTATTCATAGACAAGCGTCGTCAAGGAAAAAAGAGTCCTATTTTTATATTTTGATGGATTTTTTATACGAATATGTAATTGTGTACTTTCGCGGTTATTCAATTCGACCATTAGCGTTAATTACTTGTTATTCTTTTCCCGATATTTCAGAACGGTTACACGCTCCATAGCCCCGCTACACGCTACCATGATCAAAGAGCGTGCGACCGCCCTGAAATATCGAAAAATAAAAATATATAAAGGAATTTGTAACCAGTGATATTCGTTCTTGCATAAATACAAAAAGCCGATGACGTCTTTAGCCTAAAGTAACGTGAGTTCACCCAAAGGAGCAATTAACCGTAATATAAATTGGTGAGACTAAAATAGTCTGTGATTACGTAACCCCGTAGTAGTAGGCTCTCACATTGCCGCTTGTAGTTTTAAGAAACGTTAAGCTTTTTTTTACGTACTTTTTACTTTCTATACAGTGTAACCAACAAAGTGTGTGTATTTGAACGTACAAAAATTTGTACTTGAATGTATATATACGTAGATGTTTAGTTAGCCCCGCACTAGGGAAACCCTGTGTCGCGGGTGCTATGGATACATACATAGACAACCACAAATTACACCCAAACTCACGAGAGAAATAAATATAGGCCATACAAAAATTTCTCACGGCCCGGACCTGGGACCTGGGACCCCTGTGTGGCGTCGGCATAGTAACCCTTCGGCCACGGAGGCAGTTAACTGCTTATAAATAATCAATGTCAAAACGTTGTACTGTTTATAAAACGACTTTTCACATAACGATTTTTTAGTTGAAGCTTACAAATTCGTTTAGAGAAACATTTAAGCTTATTATGTTAAAATAAAAGTTTTCAGATAGGTAAGTTTATTTGTAAAACACGAGTTGTATTTTTATTGGAACATTATTCACATTTACAAATTAATTAGTTGGCGGGACTTGATATTTAGGCACGTGTAAAAAATGAAATTGTTGAGTATTGAACAGAGAACGTTTACAACGTAAAATTATAATCTTATATTGAATAGCAAACTTTTATAAGTGTTTATCGTTTAAATGAAACGCCCACCTAAGTTTCAGACCAGCCACCGTAGCATGGCTACGCTTGATAGTCGCGACACGCGCGATAAAATCGAAATAAGCGCGCGCTATTGGCTGTCTCAATCAGATCTAATACAGATAGCGAATAGGGCGCGCTTATTTCAATTTAATTTAGGGACTGGTATTTAGTTGTTTGACACGTTATTATCGTTGAAGATTAGTATTTTAAATTACGCAAAAAATGTATAAAATAAAACCGTCACACCGTCATAAGAATACAGTGCGAAATTTAAACTATTTTCATTGCACGATAACATTTGTTTGTTTTGAATTTTCCATTATATTTTACAGTACTATTTTCTAAACTCTAGTCCTTTAGAGTTCTTCGATTTTCACGGAAGTGGATGGTTGCGTTATTAACTTAATGTATAATTAGACATTGTAATGTCTTCGTTCACCAGTTTGCTACTGCAATTAAAAGTTTACCTTAATGTTTGAGATATAAAGTTAATAATAATTAGTTAAGCGACGTAGTGACCTTCATATTTGCATTTTAGGATGATAAAAAAAGTCAATTGATACATTAGACTGAAAATTTCTGCCTCTTGCTATCTTTACTGCAGAACACGAAGACCTATGCATTGAATATATTATTTTTTATGAAAAAACATGCTAAATAAATATTTATTTACACAGGAAAGTCATTTGGGTACAAAATTTTAAAAATGGAAGGAACCTTTGAAAATTTGGCTTAATGGATTTATTTCGATGCCGTAAAACCAACAAAAAAAAACTTAAAATGCAATCGTCAATTTCCATAAAACTCTGTAACGTCGGGGATAGTGTGATTACGCGTACAATCAAATCCGCGCTAATGTCGTGGCAACCAAATTAGATTGAATTACGAGAATATATTGTTAACAGTCCGTAGACGACATAAATTCATGGTTACTGTGCAAAAATGAATGTCGTAGCTATTGAAATAACAAAGTAGTAACGTTAAATCTCTTTCCTGTGAACTTGGTTCAGTGCAGATACGCGCCTTTTACCCATGCTATCTATATACGCGCATTTGCACTATCTCCGACGATATTTCACATCGACCTTTAGAAAAAGACAATCGCCTAATTTCGGCTTTATAGTGCTCCTCTGTAATTCATACCTGCGTAACTGCGTAACATATTTGTTGATGCAGGCATGCCACGGAAACGGTGCTCTACCAACCAGAAGGTACCCCATTATGACAGAGTCTTTTTCTATAGCTCGATTTGTAATATTTACGGTCTGGTATTGGTACTGTGATTAGAGGCACCTTAACGTATAAATAGTTTGGAAGGACGTTCAAATTTAGAATTCAGTAGGAAATTCAAAATAACCAATCACGTGATTGTATGGAACAGACCAATAACCTGACTGTACTGAATTGACCAACTACGTGGCCTATGGTTTCTTTGAACTTCGTACTTCTTTTTTAACGGCCATGCTTATTTCTCCACTACCTATATAAATTAAGTATGTTTCTTTTATATATTTGTATCCTATTTTACAGTTAACGTATAATTTATATTTTGAATTAATAAGGAACGGCTCCGAATACAATCATTGGTGCTAAATGAAGTCAGCATTGAATAGGTATTATAGTATCTATGATTGATATATTTTGTATAATACATACTACACACTACACTGTATAATTAAATTAGACTTCGAAATGGTTTTAAGGTTTGTACTTTTGGTTCTTTGTGTGTTGTGGTAGATATGTACTTAATTATATGCGTCGATGTGCAAATAAAAGCACTTAGTATATTATGCATAAGTATATTATAATTATGATGGGTATAACATTAAAAATACAAACCACTGATTGTTTAGTGATTTTTTATTTCACTTTTTAAAATTCTAATTTGGTCGCTATGTAAATACGGTTCAATTTTGGACAAATAATTTCGACAGTTTGTGTACCTGCAGCCCACCGTACATGTACATTTATTAACCCTTATTTTAAGTTTTAGTATCGCTAAGAGCCCTATGCTGACGACACTCGTTTTCGATGACCTAAACGCACGTCATCTGCGCGTATACGCGCCTCAGACGCGCTGTTAGTCGCGCATTTTGATAAAAGATTTTAATTTTAGTTTTGTTTGTTAATTTCAGTTAGTTTTTGAAATGAGACATCTAAATGAAATTCTAAGTGTAATCTCCAGTGGAGTATAATATAAGCTTCTTGCTTGCGATGTTTGCGCGCGTTTAGTCGATTCATTACAGCGGGTATGTGGCTCGTACACACACAGATGACCCGCGTTTGCGATCGTGCAACACGCTTCGTCGCCGCGTATAATATACGCCGTGTGCATAGGCTCTTACAAACAATAGCTCATCCAATAATTTAAATTTAGAATGTCACCCGAGTATGGCTCACGTACCATTGCCGGAAGTTTACGCACTGCATTCGATTCGTATTGGTTCCGAATTCAAGAAATGACGGTCCGAAATGCAGTAGCGATGATGATCGAGAATATTTTAAAGCATCGAAAATCGTTTACTACCGTCAATATCGAATGACTTCGAAGTTTGGTTAGAAAATAGACTCGTACGCATATTAACTGCTTAATATAATTTAGTCTGTTTGACAGCGAAATTGAATGTTCTCTTTAAAAAATTGTTGCCATACCGATCAGTAGAGTACAAATATAATTTAAAGTATTTTTCTTTTTTTTTTGTTTTAGCTTTAAGTTACATACATGTTAAATTGTTAGCGTTAAGTTTTTATTCTTAGGTACGTACAAATTGTTTTCAAGCTCGAATACCGTATGCTTTCTTCTTTCGTAAAGTTGTTTTTTTTTATTTCAATAAATCTGTAAAAAGAATTATCTGGTTTTATTGTAATATA